GGGGACAGCTTTTCACTGTAGCAGCCCCTTATTTCACCGTTTACTATTACTTTGGGTGATATTTGTTAGGAAGTTAAGTATCCATCTGCCCACCTCCCCATTTATTCCTTTTGCAAGTATTTTCTGTGCAATTACCCCATGCTTGCATTTGCCAAAAGCTTTGGCAAAGCCAGTGTATATTTCATCTGCATTTTCCTCGTTTTCTGTTGAAGGCAGAAGCGACCTGTCCTGAACACATATTGACCTGGGTTGAGCAAATGCTGTGATGTCCACGTAATTGGTAATCATGCTTTAAACCCTTTAAGAAATTTTGATAATATGGGAGGTTCGGGATATTGGTCTGTAGTTATTTGCAATTGCTTTTATACCACCTTTGTGGACTGGGGCAATATCATTAGTTTTTAATGACTGTGGGATGATTGCAGTGTTTAGGCTCCTCCATAGAATGTTTAAGGCATGTGACGAAGGTTTCTTCCGATTCTTGATGAATATCGAGTTCCACGAGTCTGGGCATGGGGCGAAGAGAATGGGCATTCAGTCAGTGGCTTCGAAGTCAAGTGGGGTTAGAGTTATATCAGAGATTAGGGAGATGTCTGTAGCATTTTGAGTCTCATTCATGAAGAACTCTGATTAATGGCTCACTGAACACTTGAGTCGTACTGGATGTGTGTGTGTGTATTATATATATATATATATATATATATTATATATATATATATTTATATATATATATAATTTATATATAATATAAAAATATAGGGCAACAGGCCTCCTGCATTGTACTCCTCCTTTCTTATGTTTTCTTTTATATAGAAATTTATTATATATATATATATATATATATATATATATATATATATATATATATATATATATATATATATATTATTGTGGGGTGTAGCAGTAGTAGTAGTAGTTAATAGTTGTCAAAGGCACTTATCGATAGACACTTGGCATGTTTTGTGTGCGCGCGTGTGCATGTTCAACTATTTGGGCGGCTTGTGTGTTTGGAGGGGATGATAGGGATGGGGTTCCCATTCCTTCCCTGCCCACAACTTCGTCCCTCCCGGCCTACAACCCCACCATGGCACGAAACCCCTCCCTGCTGCCCGCAACTTCCCCCCCCTTCCCCCCAACGCTCGCACTGGATAATCTCCCACTTTGATAACGGCATATTTGGATTCCTGTCCGCCTCCCCAGCTTTCACAACCCCGAAGATTATATAAAATAAAAAGACTCGCATTCTTGATAGTCTCCTTCATTTAATTATTAGTTATTCTTTTTAAATTAATTTCAGGCGAGTCAGAATTCCATAGAATTCGAAAAAAAGGCGATTGATTGATATATAAATATATACTGGTGGCAATGGAATGGGCGTCCTTGGCCAAGGTCGGCGCGCCTGACGATGCTCTTTTCGTTTTCCTTTTTTTTCAGGTCTCCCGTTTTCTTTCTTGGCCGCCATTGTGACCCTTGACAAAAGATGGGGTGAGAACGGTCCGAGGGTCGCCAGGGGTGTTTTTGCGGACAGGGGAAAGAGAGCCTTTGAATTTAATGCTTCTGCAGTTTATAGCTCTGTAGGTCTAGTTGTATAGGCGACCCGTAGCTCGCTGCTGGAACTTTGGCCTCAGCACTGAAAAGATCCGGGTTCGACTCCCGGTCTGGGTGTGATTTATGGGAATGCCTTCCTACATCTGCCGGATATATATATATATATATATATATATATATAATATATATATATATATTATATATATATATATATATATTTATTATATTATTTATTACCTTGGGATAGTAAGATTTTTGAAGGCATTTATATAATTTTAAACTTTTACAGTGGTGTTATATTGCACATTGTGTAACAAGCAAATTGTGACTAATGCTCGTAACATTTTACAAGAATATACTGGACCAGATCATGGTAGTTTATAAAGGATGATTGAAAAATGCTGTCGTGGTCAACACTCCCGTTGCCTGGTCCAAGACCAGGTCTCTTGGTACATCAGGGCCTGATCATCTAGGCTGTTATTGCTGGCTGCACGGAGTAGAACGTACGAACCACAACCCGGCTGATCAGGAATTAGCTGAATTAAGGAATTTATCAGATTCTCTCTTGAAGACAGCCAGAGGTATATGGGCAATCGCACTTTTATATATACTGTAAACTTTGTAATTAGAAAAGCTTAATGGCTCACTGAACACCGAGTCAAATTCTACAGCTGACGTTATCCTCGTTGGTCTACCAGAATATCAGCTCAGAACCTTTGACTTTCAACACTGAATTACACTGTGTGAGTGAATGCGTTAGGGGGAACATATTAACAGTCGACAATAATGTGTAACTATCATCATATATAAATGAGTAGCAGTACTTTGCTGAATTCTGTCAAAACTACAGAAAAAGAAATACCCCAACCCGAAGGTGACAGGGAGGCACAGGCCGCCGCCATCACGTAACTCTGGAACGTGTCATCGCCAGCAGTTAATGACACTCAATTACAGACATCGAGACTAGTGTAACAGTTTAGTAAGAGGCAAGGTCAGAGGTTGGTACTCATGGATGGAGAAAATCGCACCCGTTAGACGCCATCCGTACAGGAAAGTGGCGACGGGGTGCCTTGTTGACTTGTCTTGTGTGCGAGGTATATTATGTCGTCTGCACAACTCCGGATACAAGAACGTTCTTTGGGTATAAATGTTGTTCTTTTGGCATAAATGTTGTTCTTTTGGCATAAATGTTGTTCTTTTGGCATAAATGTTGTTCTTTTGGCATAAATGTTGTTCTTTTAGTATAAATGTTATTATTTTGGTATAAATATCGCTCTTTTGGTATAATATCGCCATGAATATTGCTTTTTGCTAAAAATGTCGTTCTCTTGGTGAAAAAATCTCTTGATAATATTGTAGTTCTTTAGTTATAAGTTCTTCTTTCCTTTTGTTTGTTCTCCGTTTAGATTATTTTCTGAAAGCTGCAAAAAGCCTATTACGTTCAGAGTATTTTCTGAAAACCTTAGATCGAACCTGACTACCTTCCATTCCCCATAGGACCCCCTACAGATTTAGCGCTCCCAAATATGCATGATAATCGTACCCCAATCCTCAACAATAACGGAGGGAAGGAAGACTGTGAAAATAAAAATGGGTATTTTGATACCGACAAGATGTGGAACAAGACACTTACGTGCAATTCAGGACATCTATTAGAGGAAACCTTTCGCCACTCGAGGCGAAACGTCTCTCTTTCCACAAGGAAGACTAGTTCAGTTACTGCGGCGCCATCCAAATAAGCGGAAGATTGGTGCAAGACTTAGAAACATTGCAAAAAATGATGTCAACAAAGTCTTTAAGTGGGCAGTAGACCACCTAACTCAGTGGTTCCCAAACTGGGGGTAATTTAACCATTTTTGGGGGGTAATGGAGAGGTGACAGAAAAAAAGTTATGAATTCTGAAAATCAAGAAAACAATGCGGTACCCGGTATGAGGATTATTGTTAACTTTGTCTTAGTATATAAAGTTGTAAAGTAAACCTATTATAAGTAAGTAATAAAGTTAAACCAAATAACAATAAACATCAAAAACTAATATACAGTATTAGAAAAGAAGAAATATATAGCTAAGTGTGTGGAAACCCAAAAGTATTTTGACAAGTATGCTTCAGGATAAAAGTCACTCAGTAGCCCATATCGACCTGTCCAGTACGCGTCACTCACTTCCTGAGGCTGCCTCTATTTCACACTGTCAGTTTATCTGTGAGCATCAGCCGAGGTAGACAAAAGCTGGTATGAAGCCAAGAATTCCTAAACTAGCTTCAAGTATGCAACTCCATCCATCCCACTGATGTTCTTGACATCTTTGGTAATAGTCATTAGAGATGCACAATGTTCAAATACAATAAATAAAAGAAAATATCTCAAGTGTTTTAATTTAGCCATATATATCAATAATAACAACATTTTGTGAAAGGGGTAACATGCTTTATGTGGCATGTTAAATTGGCTAACAAGCTGAAAAAGTTTGGGAACCACTGTAACTGGATCAGTTTTCAAACTCATAACACGAATCTTCCCTTAACTACTAGTCTCATCACAAAATCAGCACCATTTTTTTTTTTTTGTCCGATATTCTCGTTTCGAAGCTTGAAAATGTGGTAGGGAGAGGGAGGAGGAGGAATGGGGGGGTTAAGGGGCTAATATTTCACAGGAACCATATTCAGAAAGCGTGTAAGTTTCCAGTTACCCAGTTTGTAAGTGTTTGCACGAACAGGGACTCTCAGGACAGTTGAGGCTCCATATTAGGTCCTGCTATCCTTGTGCATTTGTAGCAGCGAGCCTGTTAGACCCACCCTTCTCCTTTCATGTCATGTTAAAAGGTTACAATAAGGTGAAAAAAAAGTGCTATTGACGAAGAGAAAATAAAATGGCATTACTCCATGATGCCAAAGTCCCTTCAGCTGGAGTTCAAATCGCGTGTCGAAATGAGTGTGTTTATTTGCATTTTTAAGTTATATTTTTTATTATCCATTTTCACGTCCTTGTGAAATGTTTAAAATCAAAGTAATAATTCCTAAGAATCCGTGAAAATAATTGCTAATAGCATTATATTGTAACATTATTTGTAAACAACGTGTAAAAAAAATTTGTCAAGTGTATTTTGTTCTTTTCACGTCTTTGTGAAATGTTTAAAATCGAAGTAATTAATTCCTGAGAAAGCGCGATGATATTCACTAATGGCGTTATGTTGTAACAATATTTGTAAATTAACTACTAAACTACGGAGATTACACCAATAAAAACTAATGTAGTTTAAAAATTCTTTCGTACAGAGTGATTGAGCAGTAGAGCTGTGGAGTTGCCTTTGGGTGGACATTAGTTCAGGCCTCAGTACTTATACAATTTGTGAACTTTACGTTAGGGTGAGATTCTCATTTTTTAGTAGTAGTTGTAATTGTAACGACACTTGCTGTAGGAAAATATGAATTAATTACAACTTGGTCTTGCAGGAGTTGGCCCAGCTGATCGAGGAAGCCAACCAGTCCTTGGAGGAGTCTGGGACTCCTTCTCACGAGATCCTGGTGGTGGTCCTGCACAGGGAGATCGTCGGACACGGCTCCATCGGCATTACCCTGGCCGGAGGTGCAGACTACGAAGCCAAGGAGATTACTGTAAGTGGCACTGCATGCCTCCCAAGACTTAGCCCGCCATAGTGCCAGCACAGCCAATCCATAGTACTAATACAGCCACCCCCTTGTACTAACACAGCCACCCCCTTGTACTAACACAGCCACCCCCTTGTACTAACACAGCCACCCCCCTTGTACTAACACAGCCACCCCCTTGTACTAACACAGCCACCCCCTTGTACTAACACAGTCATGCCCACATACCAACATAGCCACGCTCGCGTACCAATCTATTCACTCCCTACTCTCAACACAGCCACGTCCTAGTACCAAAACCATCACGCCCAGGTACTAATTCATTCACGTCCTGGTACCAGCGCAGCCACGCCCTAGTACCTACACAGCCTTGCCTTAATACCACAGCCACACCCACGTACCAGCAGCCACGCCCTAGTAACATAGCCACACCCTAAAATCAACACAACCATGCCCAAGTACCAACACAACCACGCGCAAACCTAAACAGCAACGCTCACACATTCACTCCCACACTCATACAGTCATCCAGTCATGGGAGGGTCCTTGATGCTAGTGAAGCTCTCTTGATCCAAAGAATTTGACTTTGCCTCCCCTTCCTTGGATCGAACCTAATTGCCTCCTATTTGTTGCTTCATGACTTCTTCAGGTAAAGCGCTTCTCCCAACTAATAATAACAACACTCCCCAGGGTGTAGTGGTAACAACGCTTTTATACGTATATAGGTGTGATGTATGGGGTTTGAATGTTGCATCGAAAAGGAGGCTAGAGGCAGCTTGGATGTCATGCTTGAGAGAAATGTGTGGTGTGAATATCATGCATAGAATTCGGAGAGTAAAAATTTAAGGCGATGTAGAGTCACCAGGGAGCTGAAGAAGGGTTGTTGAGGTGATTAGGGTATGTAGAAAGGATAGACAGGGACAGTGGAAGGTAGAAGGGGCAGAGGTCTTCCCAGGAATGGGCGGAGACGTGGGATACAAGAGGCTTTGAGTTTTATAGGCTTGAACATCCAGCAGGCTTGTGCGAGAATATTAGGAGTAATTGGAGGCAAGGCGTTTTTAATGGATGTACTGTTGGAGTGTGAGCAGGATAACTTTTATGAAGAGATTCGGGGATACCGGTTAGCCGGCCTTGAATCCTGGAGGTGCAAAGGCCAGTGCCTGCACTCTGAAAAAGAGGTGGAGATGCTGCAGACGGAGGGATAATCTGCTTTTGATTTAAGCACACTTCTGGAAAAACGACGATTGAGTGAATATTGGTGATATTTTTTTCTTTGGGTTTTTCTACCTTGCTGGGAGACGGCTGCGTCTCTCTCTCTCTCTCTCTCTCTCTCTCTTCTTCTCTCTCTCTCTCTCTTCTCTCTCTCTCTTATATATATATATATATATTTTATATATATATATATATATAGTATATATATATATATTTCACACACACACACACACACACACAATAAGGCTTCAAGGAAGAATATTTGGATTTCTTCCCGAAGCCATTTGAATATTCCACTTCCATTACCACCCCATCTTTTCATTCTTTTTTACCAGTAAGTATATTTTATTACAAAATATGGTACAAAAGATATAAGAGATACATTGTTGATGTAAAGATGGCATATACAGTACATGAGGTGTGAGAGATACATGTCTAGTGCATATTGTTACGTGTTTGTCACTGATTATAATGCGAAAATCTCATCCAGTTCCTCATAACTGGGGCGCGTGCCCAAAATACAGCAGGCATTACCTCTGAACAGAAGAGCTGAGTCGCTGGAACAGAAAACTAGCTGCCCTGGGATCCCTAGTTACCCTGTTGAATCTTTTGCCTAGCTCCTTGAGGAACTTTGATGCACTCTTTCCCCATGAGCCAAGGATCTCCGAGCCTATGGGAACAAACATATAATGATGGGCGAGTTCTCCGTATTTTCTCGACTTTTGGGACTCCCTGAAGCTGGCAGCTGCCATTCCTTCCTCCCTGGTGTATTGGGGATAGGTATCAGGCAAGGTAGATGCACATGTGTAGTCCCACACCACCTGCTTGCCGTCTGTCCAGGCTTGAAGGGTGATACCATCTGGACGCTTTTGGCTGCCATCAGATCTGCATAGTTGGGGTGGCTCCCTTACTGCTGGGCATCCGGCTGTTGTGAGGCTTCTCTTGATAATGTTATTAACCTCTTCATATCTTGCACTCTTTCCCTCTGATTTATGGCACACCAGACCATGGTACCCGAATCAGTTTGCTGCTTCACTGTCACAAATACACCTGTGCTCGGCGAGAACAGGGACAGCAAGTCGAAGGACAACACCAATGTGGTCTGTGGGTCAAGGCGTGTGCCAAGGCTGGAGTTGGGAAAAGCCAACAGAAAGTCCCCTCCATGAGGAGCTCTCACTGCTAGGAGGTGGGCTCTATCCTTCCCTGACACACACTGAAGTACTGTTGAGGCTATGTTCTCCAATGTTGGGCCATCCCAGTGCGATTGTTTGTAGTTGTTGGGGGGAGCAGGTCGGATTTCCAAGCCCGTTAGATTATCCCAGATCATGGCTTCGTTAACGAACTTCTGGTCATGGACTCAAATCTTGTCCCTAAGATGTTCAAGGAGAATCACTGCTACAAGCCCTCTGCATGCAATGCAGGAAGACAGGAAAGCAGGTAGCGCATGCTGTGACGACTTGCGGACACAATGCCTCATATATATATATATATATATATATATATATATATATATATATATATTTTATATATATTATATATATATATATATATATATATATATATATATATATATCTTTCAACACACCGGCCGTATCCCACCGAGGCAGGGTGGCCCAAAAGGAAAAACGAAAGTTTCTTCTTTTAGATTTAGTAATATATACAGGGGAAGGGGTTACTAGCCCCTTGCTCCCGGCATTTTAGTCGCCTCTTACGACACACATGATTTACGGAGGAAGAATTTCGTTCCACTTCCCCATGGAGATAAGAGGAAATAAACAAGAACAAGAACTAGAAAGAAAATAGAAGAAAACCCAGAGGGGTTTGTATATATATGCTTGTACATGTATGTATAGTGTGACCTAAGTGTAAGTAGAAGTAGCAAGACATACCTGAAATCTTGCATGTTTGAGACAGAAAAGACACCATCAATCCTACCATCATGTAAAACAATTACAGGCTTTCGTTTTACATTCACTTGGCAGGACGGTAGTACCTCCCTGGGTGGTTGCTGTCTACAACCTACTCTACCTAGAATAATATATATATATATATATATATATATATATATAATATTATATATATATATATATATATAGTATATATATATACATGTATTATGTGTGTGTGTGTGGTGTGTTGTGTGAGTGTGTATGTGTATGAGCCGAATAAGTAAAACTTGCGATTTAGGCTTAAATAGCAACGCTCTTCTTGCCGAATAAGGCAAGTGAAAATTTGTGTATGCAATAAATGTCGCAAAAATTCTGACCTAAAACGTAAAAATATATGGCCATTGTTAACATAATATAAAAATATATTTAGTTGGATTAGCTGAATTAATTGCGCTTGTTATGATATAGTTTGGTAAGTTTCCTAACGATCTTTTGATACAAAATCATTAATTTTTATATTAACATGAACAAAATATATCTTTAAATGTACAAGAGAACATTTTAGAAAGGACTTAATTTTAAACGAGTTCTTGCTAATTGACCAGTTTTACCTATTCGGCATTCTCTTGCAGGCATGATTCTTATTTTTTATGGTAAATGTCTAAGGAAAGTATAGTAAATCATCAAATATTGATGTGTGTTAATGTGTGCAATTGATGTATTAAGAGATGTAAGTATTGGTGTTTATGATGTGTGTATTGATGTAGTATTTGTGTATTAATTGATGTATGTATTTATGCAGTGTCAGAAGTGCAAGATGTGCCGAAGCGGGCTGGCTTCTTTCTAGTTCAACCTCATTGCTCTACAAAGTGGACAGGTCTCTTCCACCTTCTTCAGCCCCCTCCCCCCTCCTCCACGCTCCTCCCTCTCTCACTTCTCACATCCTACCACCCCCCCGAGCACAATGGCCATTACCTCTCCCACTTTGCCAACATACTCTACCTCACCATTATTGCCATTACCCTACCCCACCACAAACCTCCTAGTCCCTAGGCGCAGTATGTTCCAAACGGATTTAGCGCTCCTCCCATGTGAATACAGTGATATTAATCGGTCAGCAGAACCTAGTTTTGAGAAGAGCAGTTGTTCAACTTTTTTTTTATTTGTCACCAGCAGACCTGAATTGTGCACTTGCTCTTGAAGGTCTCTTGGCCCGAGGAATTGGAGGCGCCCTTCGTTCCTCAGATCATACTTTTATGACCTGTAGGTTACTTTAATACTCCTCGGTGGATTTCAGCCATTAATTATAGTCTGAATTAAGAACATAAGAATGGAGGAACACTGCAGCAGGTATAAACCTTGGTAATAGAAAGAAAACGTTTTCGGTCCCGAGACCTTGATCAGGTCTTAGTACTGAAACGTTCTCTAATAAATATGTCCTAGTGTTCGCTCACGTCTCTTTCTAAATCACTGCAGCAGGCCTACTGGCCCATACTTAACAGGTTCTCAAATCCAACTTTTCCCACCCACATTTTTCCAACCAACTTGGTGTTACCCAAGGAATTAATTTCAGTAACCGTACCGTATTAAGAGAGATTATTATGAGATATTATTTTGTGTAAATGTACCAGCCTAAGCGACCCGTCCACCTCAACGTGTTACCAACCAAGAAAAGTACTTTTTTTTTTTTCTATCTAAAATAATAGTTTGCACAAGAAGCACTTACTCTAAATAAGTTCCATG